AAGTACACACACACACAAACTTATGTAAAGCAACCTACTTCCAGAAATAAAATGCTCTGAACGAAGTTTGCTTCAAACGTATTACAGGATATTTAGCAAAATGCACATGAGGATAAACAAAATATGGCTTTGTAATATCCATGCAGTCTTATCCTATGCATATTTAGAAGGCCTATTTTGTTTTGATATGTACTACACCATAAAAATGTGCATATATATACCATGGCAGCCAGAATTGTGAACAAGCTGAGCAAAGGCATGGTGTAAAGTTTGCTTCTCTGCTGTGTTCACAATGCACTATGATTAAATCTAGAATCTAAAGTGGAATATTAATGGGCAGCTACAATTAGTAATATAACTGTTCAGATTGACTTCAAACACAAGATAATACTGGTAACAAGTAGATATTTTCTAATAATTCATTTTTGTCAAGTGTGTTTCAATATCTGAATTTATCCTTTTGAAAAGACCTTCAGTACGCTTATAAAAACTAACACACCTTATATAACTTCAATTTACATTCCCTTTGCAAAATATTAATTTAAGTTAGAATTTCATTCCAAGAAATTTTTACGTTGTTTATAACTGAATTTTTAGAAATTAATCTGCCATGACAACTTATAATAGTTTGACTTGAATCAAACTAGATCTTGATATAATTCTTTGGTATAAATAAAACAGCTGTAAATACGGTACTTGTTTAATCTTCTGTGACAACCTAAAATGACTTAATAAAAGTCTTTGGCTATACAAAGCCAAGTTAACAAATTTCACATTACCACATGTAATAGTTTTCAGCATGTAAAACAAATTACAGTATTGGATACATTGTTTTGGCAAAGTAATTCACAAAAAATAATTATTGAAATTGTCATCTATGACTCAATATTTTAAAACTAATGTGGCTTAAATTGCTGTAAAATCCCCTTCCCCAATTTGAAAACATTTAAAAACTTTGCTCCCTTTCTAAACTTTATAATAAATAGATTTTTTTTCTCATAGACCTGAATATAAGTAGCTTAGCTGAACAATAATACTGACAAATAGCATCATAACATCATTAGCTAACATTACATGGCGGCAGTGAAGATTTACATTTATATGGGACACTGTAAAGACACCAGAAAAGATTTATGTCAGTCCAATCTCTTCAAGAACACTACGAGGGGTCTCTGCTTCCTGTGGAGAAAAAAAGAGAACTAACAGGGGTGTTTTTTGTATTTGCCAAGCTAGGTATATCATATTTAAGAAGTAAATGAATTTCAGTAAGTTACATCTCACCTTTTTTTAATAAACTGTATTTGACACACTTCCCAATTCCTGCAATTCTTTCCTCCTTTCTTTAGTCAACTGAATAGACTGGAAACAGTTTCTATTATGTGAAATGCTTATGGTTCATATAGGAGAGAAGACAACCTAAAGTTGAACAACTCCCACAGGCACTAGCCACTTTGATAAGTGTGAATGTTTGATCTGATTAAAGAATTCAACCAAAGTAATAGTATTTGAGATAAAAATTGTAAATATTTAACAAATATGGATAAAATATTTAGAAAATAATTGTAAAGGCCAATTAAAATCTTATTTTTGCTAATGAAGTTAATGATCAATGTTTTAAATGTTCAATTTCAAATAAAACATTAAAGCAAGTTATGTTTTCTTTATAATAAACCAATGTACTCAAAAGCACAGCCAGTAATACTTGTATAAAAGCACTTACTTTAGCATCCTAAAAAGGTATAGCCAAAAAGAAAGAAAATCAGAATTTTAGCAATATTTCCATATAAATGCAACAAGTAAGAACATGAGAGCCCGTTTGGTCTAGAGGTTAAGACACCAGGCTAGAAACACCATGAGTTCAAGTCCTGCCTTAGCCATGAAAGCCAGCAGGGTGACTTTGGGCCAGTCACCCTCTCTTAGTCCAACTCACCTCACAGTTGTTGTTGTGGGAAAAATATGAAGTGGAGATGTGTTGGATATGTTTGCCACCTTGAATTATTTAAAAAATAGTAAGGGCGGGATATAATAAATAAAACAATTGAAATTCTGAATTCCCAAAAGGAAGGCACTATTGTAACACCTCTGAATTGTGTTAGTAACTAGCAGCAAGTGCTCTATTTAGATATTATTCTGTGCTGACATATATAAATTTGATATATAGGATTGGATTTTGTTATGAAAAATAAGTTTTATTAGATTCATCATTCTGAAGATTCATCATTCAGCAGATTTACTACCAGGGAATGCACCCTCATTCATTATGCAAACTTCCAAAAACAAAATTGGCTTAGAGGATGGACAGACTCCCACAATGGTTCCCTTTCAAGAAGGTTGCCACTTAATTTGGCAATTTCTCATGAAAGTTAGAGCTGTAATCCAATAAATGAAATATAGCTGGATTTCACCTGCACTAATAGATCTCTTTATGTGAAGTCTAAGTCAAGTTGAATATTTACTATGGCCATAGGCCAGCATAATATAACAAAGATATACTATTTTTATCTAATAAGAACCTGCATACCCTTATTATTGTATGCGTTTTTGTATCATAGTAGTATTTTAAAAAATTGTGTTTTACACTTTTAATAATGTACTATGAGCAATGATACAGCATACCCTCAACAAGTCTGAATCTCAAATATTACTTGGGGAAAGTAGCTGTACCATTCAAGGGGTATAAAATAGCTCTTTGGGAATGTGCAAATCAGAATTAAGGTAAATTCCACAAATATGAATTATTTCACAGCAAAGAAATGGAGGGGGAAAAAGCCAGTCACATGAGAAGTGCATGCAATAGTTTATTACAGTCATGCCCAAAAAAATTCACAGTAATTTACAAGCATGCAGCTACATAAAGGTGCAACAATACTGCACCACCATCAGCACTCCATTTGCAGCAGTTTGAAGAGCCAGTCATTAAAAGAATGCAAAGCAGCATTTACCATGTACATTCACAGAAGCAATACCATATACATTCACAGAGAGGGAAAGGGAGATCTGCAATATAAATGCTTCTTGCATGCTTCCCAGATGTAATGGGAAGTAACATTAATCCCATGTTTGAAACAACAATTCTCTCTAGCATGCTGTATCTATATTTGATTATATTGCAGAAACCATTTTCTTTTTTACTGCCATTTTGAAAGTCTAACTTTGTAACAACAGTCATGTCTCTTTTTATTATGACTTTTTGTTTTAGAATAAAATCAGGAAGGTTTTTAGTCATATACTTTGGTAGTGGCTTCTGTACATTTATGAACATTTTTATTGCTATTGTAACATTTGGATCAGCTCCATAGATGCATTAAAGATATCCATATAAATCTACTCTAAAATACTGAAATTAATGAAAGACTGCATGCAGAAGAAATACCTTATGCACACTTTAGAGAATGCAAGATCAATGTACTTATTTTTTAAATGTATTTAGCAGTGAAGCAAATTTGTTTAATATACATGTATCACAATTTGTGGCCTTCAGGGTTGTTTTTCATGATAAGTTTAGAAGGCGCTATTTAGAAAACAGTTTGTTTAGTGGGATAAAGTGTATAAGTTAACATCAGTGGATTTCTATGTGAAAGCTGCATAAATTAGATTTATATACATTTTGACAATACTGTACCATGGGGTTGAATATTTAAATGATAAAGTGAGGCTAAGCAAAATATTTTACATGCTATGTCAAGTGCTAATGAGATAATTTAAATATTTTAACATGAAAATTACAGCATGCTGACAAAACATATGAAGAAAAACAAACATTGCAAATGGAAGGACAAGGAAAAATACAAACAGCAAAAACAAAACACACAACTGTGATATACACTAGTTTGTTCAAGATGATTGGATTCACCAAGCTGAGGAAAAGCGTTCTGCCATGAGAAAACCAGTTCTAGCATCTCTCTGTGTGCATGATGAATGAAGTCATTTAGTATACTGGGACATTAAAGTATTCATGACGTGGCTATAAAAGAAATGTATATTTTTTTATAAACAGTACAGAAATTAGCACGCATATAATACTACAAATGGATTTATATTACTTCCATTCTTCTCTATTCTGATCTTTTACAATTACGTAATAATAATGTTTGAGGATTAAGAAAATATATTTTATTGTACTGGATGATATTTAATATCCTGGGTGGTTTGCTTTAAACTAAATTTGTAATGATGATGTGTACAGTTAGTTCCAGACATCCATCATTTTTTGCACAGCAGTATGTTTAATTACAGAAAATAGAATGCATATGCAATTTGCACTTTGAACAAGCTATTTGAAAGTTGTTTCTGATGTATCAAATAATATTCAATCGTATAATTACTGAATTTTATGGCAATGTATGTAAACTACAATTAATTTATGTCTAAGTTTTATTTTTCTTTATGGTGCAATTATAAATCATGTCTTTAAGGGTTGCAATCATAAAAATAAACTCATTCTTTTTAGCTGTTTTAAAACTACCTGTATTAACATTCCAGGCCAGCTAGCTGTTAATCCAACTACCCAGGGATGGAGAACTGGCATCATTACATTTTTTCGTACTTATCTTAAGAGCAAAAATAATACACCATTCATAAAGCTAGTTCTATAAACAACTATAGAGACTATAGTTTTTCTGTATCTAAGAATGTGCAGGCTTTCAAGCATAATAATCAATATATAATGATAACTATGAATATTTCTATAAGTCTTTCAGAAATATAGGTTCCCCTGAAAATAATGAAATGGAAAGTATTCCTAAAACAGATATCCTAAGATTAATTCATTCAATGGAGAACATTTTATAAATTTCCATGTTAACTTGGCAAAGTACATTTTCCCAGACATCATATGAACATAAATATTCAATTATTTTTGTCCTCCCCAACACATTGTGATTAATATATCCAAACTCATAAAATTAAATACTCTCCACATGCCTAATTTGGATATGTGCAGTCTTCTCCACATTCTTTCAATACTTATAAACTGGTATAGCAGGAATACATTTTTCCTCCAGTTTATCTGGTTAACCTAATAACTACATCACCTTAATATGGATTTTCACTTCATGGATGTTCGGGTTTTTAACTAAAAGTAGTTAAATAACACCATTTGGTGGTTAATGTATTTATTTACATTATTCTTAATTTGTTTTTATGAAAATATAAAAAGTTATATTGGGTTTCCCCAAAAATAAGACCCTGTCTTATATTTTTTTGAACCCTGAAATAAGCGCTTGGCCTTATTGCCATGCGCTCAAAATTGGGCTTATTATAAGGGTATGTCTTATTTGGGGGAAACAGGGTAGGTGAAACCTTTCTATGGAAAGGTTCAGAAGTGAAAATAAATTATCTGCATCTTGTATAGTCAAAATCGAACAATTCTCAATTTTATTCTCTGGGGAAAAGAGGAAGGAGCATTAGATATGTTTACCAGCTTGTATTATTTATTAAAATAATAAAGGTGGAGATTATATATAATAAATATAAACAATATAAACATATATAAAATATATAAACAATAAAAATAGGATTTGAAAAAAAGTATTTTTTTGAATCTGTAGTCAGAACAAGGGAAGCTGCCATTTGAAAATATTCCACGGGGCATGGCGAACTGAAGACAACTCTGCAAGAGAATAGCCCATGACCACAGTGCAAAAAGGAGCCAATTGCTCCCCAAACTCCTCTCTGGATTAAGGAGAGAATTTGGGATGCCCAGAGTGTTTTCCTGCAACAAGACTGTAAAACAATAGTCTCCAGTAGGTTTTAGAGCTTTGAGAGTCAGGAGAGTCAGTCTTGGCCAAGCCATGGTTGAGAGATTTCAAGAGACACTGGGTTCACCCACTACCTTTCTTAACCACTTTCATTGGAAATGTTTTGAAAATTGTTTTATGGATATTAACAGCCTTCAGAAGGACAAGTTTTATTACATTAAGTGCTCTTCCTTCAAACCTCAGACATAGAAGATTCATGTAAATTTAAGAACTTAAAAACTTTGTTATTTGAAAATAAGTAGCAAAAACATAATTAGAATGCTAATTTTGGAAAGATTTTAAATGGACTTAGGGTCCATCATCGTCTTTTAACGACTCCATAATCCCTTGCGGGGTGAAGTCTAGGCAACTGAATGGAGCTAGCAGAGTGTTTTAACGGCCGGATGCCCTTCCTGTCAACCAATGGGGAGTTTTGTTCAGCAGATATATTCTCAATGTGCCCAGAGAGAAATATCTGCCTTTACCTAGGATCAAAGTCACTGCCTCCTGATTGTGAGGTGAGAGCTCTACCTCTAGGCCACCGCACCACTCCTACTTAGGGTCCATCTTAACTGAAAATAAGATTATGAAATAATTATAAGAATATAACTATAGTTTATTTAAAATCCTATTAAAAATATATGAAGATTTTGAATTTTAAGTGCAAATAATCTTTCCCTGGGAAAATTTTGTGGATTGGGAAAAAGCGTGAAAAAAGGAGATCTTGAAGGTTAGTTACTGGAGGCAACTAGAAAGGTTCTAATTAAAGGAGACGACCTTCTGTTACAGAATAGAGAGAAGTATTTTAACTCTGGAGGAATTCAAGGATATTTGGCAACAATATTCAGAATTTTCTTTTCAGATTGTCCAATAGTATAAAATAGATTCAAAAAAGGAGATAGAAGAGGATGCAATGGAGAACCAGGATGTTTTGGATATTGGTTTAAAAATGACAGGGTATAAGAATGATCTAACGAGATAGGTGGCACATACATATCGGTACATATATACATACATAAAATATTGACAAACATGTTATACAGAATTTGCCAAAGAAACCAATTGATATTTTAATAGCTAAAGGGACACACAAATAATAAATCAAAATGGTGATTTATTGGATGTATAGATTCCAACTCAGAAAAGTAACTTGGACAAGTTTTCTTATTTTTGGACTTACAAAACATATGTGTAGGAGTATCCAAGAAAAGATAGAATGAAAAGAAATAAGCTTTTGAGACATTCCTCAAGACTTTTTCCATAACCAAGCCATTTGCTGCTTTTACTTAGAAGCTATGAAATTTTTCAATAAATCACAAGAATTACTCTATTGACCATTTTGAAAAATGGGATCAGAATGGACAGCTACCCCCTCTAGTGCTTGAATCAAAGCAAGAGAACAACAAGCTTGTCTTGAATTCCCATTGTTCTTACAGTCAGAATATTCAAACATTTTGCATTTTATTCTGATGGAATTCTTCAATTATTCCGACTTTTTTTTTTCCAGAAGTCCAGTTGCCTCCTGAAAAAGCACCTTTGGGACAACCATGACTTGGATGACAGAGAATCTCCACAGACATTTAGCTATACACTTTGGGATGAACACCCTTCTAATGCTGTGGGAGTATGAATGGATTTCCAGGAAAAAAAATTGCAGAATAAAGGAACCATTTGCACTTCAATTTCAGATGCAAACAACACAGACTCATCTTTAACACCTACGCCTGTCTTCACTGAAGGGACATAGGGCAGAAAACATCCTGCAGCCAAGAAGGGTCCACACCCATTTGCACTATCATTATTTTATTTCAGAACTTTCAGAGAGAGATTCTAAATTGTCAAGAATTCCTCAGTGATCTCTGTTTTGCTTTTCAGATCCATTCCAAACCAACATAGAATTAGTGGACAAGATAAAAACAATAAGAATTATGGGAGGAAGTTATCATAATTCCAGGAGTTCAAGATATTGTAGAAAGAGAAATTAAGAGTGCAATTAATACATGCACAAAGCTTAAATTAGTATTAGGGAGCAACCCATGGTCAGAAATCCTGAGGCCAAAGGATCTGCAGGACTGCTCCAAGAACATTTGCACACTATTCTGATTATGGCAAGGAGAGGGCCGAGTTCCTCTATTCCTACTTTGCTTCAGTTGTCAGATAAATAAAAAAAAGGAGTGGCAACTAAAGAAATTGGCTATCATGAGTAAATTATCTCTTCAGAACCAGATCTATTAAATCTGAGTGTCCTGAAGGAATTTATGGATATCATTTTGGAGCATATATGATTTTAAAGAAATCATGGAGAATAGACATAATGCCAGAGGATTGGGAAGGTTAAATTGCTTCCAAGAAGAGATTGGACTGCCATTTGTCAAAAACAGTTTAGGGTCTCCTGCTTGGGCGGGGGGTTGGACGAGATGATCTACAAGGTCCCTTCCAACTCTGTTAATCTGTCTGTCTGTCTATCAAATATCTTTAAAAAGATAACTGGCAAGTAGAGACCGGACAGCTTGATAACGGTACAGGGTAAAAGTGAGACACAGATTATTCAGCAGTTGGTTTGTAAGCAGGAGCAAGTTTAATTAGAATAAATCATGCTATACCATCCTGATAAATGTCTTGACTTTTTCCTTCTTTTTTTTAAGAGTGACCTATTCAATTGCCATAGAAACATAGCGGACACAGCATACCCTGCCTTTAGAAAACTATTCAACAAAGACTTCCATGAGATTCTAGTAGAGAATTATAAGAAAGAGATAAAATGTGATCAGGACATCCTATGATTATAAACAGTACCACCATCGGTCATTCTTAGCCCAATTCACCTCATAGAGTTGTTTTTGAGGGGAAAATAGAAGGAGAAAGGAGTTATTAGGTATGTTTACCATCTTGAGTTATTTATTAAAAAATAATAAAGGCAGGATAAATAAATAAAACAAATATAGAGTTAGCTGAACACTACATCATATTACACTAATGACTTCACATTAAGATGGAAACAAGTATCGAGCAGCATATTACAAAGCTCCAATCTACCCCAATTTGTTCCACATATATAAAAGTGCTTGAATGACGGATTAGAACATATCACATATGTAGATGAAGCAAAGTTAGGACACATAACAAACAGATAATATTAATAAGATTCAAAAGGTAGAAACAATGAGTGGAAACCAGCAAAATACATTCAATCAGAAAACTGCAAAACCCTACATTTGGGCAGAAAAAAGATGCAGTTTTATTCTTAATGAAATATCTCAAATTTCTATGTACTATATATAATGAATACAAATAACTACAAATATTAGAAGTTAATAGAGTTAAGGGTCTTATTTTAAACCTGAAGGAACTAATTTCATAATCTCTCCTTCATTAGAAATGTAGGGTAAGAGGTGAAGATCCTGTCAACATCTAAGCAAGTATTGTGTAGGGGCCTATGTCAAAATGTGGGATAAATAATACACTTTCAGAGACAGTTGAATTCTACAGATCATATTCTGGAAATCAACTTGTTTGGAGCAATTGAGAAACATCAATAGAAAAGGCATGGTTTTTATAACCCTCAAGATGATGGGAGTGAATCTGTATCCAAAATACAGGTAGTCCTTGACTTAAAACAGTTCATTTAGTGACCGTTCGAAGTTACATCACTGAAAAAAGTGACTTATGACTGTTTTTCACACTTATGACCATTATAGCATCCCCATGGTCACGTGATTTACATTCGGATGCTTCACAACTGACTTATATTTATGATGGTTGCATAGTCATGTGATTGCCTTTTGTGACCTTCTGACAAGCAAAGTCAATGAAGAAACCAGATTCACTTAACAACCACGTCACTAATTTAACAGCTGCAGTGATTCACTTAACGAATGTGGCAAGAAAAGTCGTAAAATGGGGCAAAACTCACTTAACAAATGTCTCATTTAGCAACATACATTTTGGGCTCACTTATGGCGGTAAATTGAGGACTACCTGTAACTAATTCCATGGTCAATTAGAAGACTTGCATCACCATGAATTGAATTTTGCATTCTTAATTTCATCAAGCATGCGGTCCTAGAACACTTGTAGTTAATTTTATATCTATGTTGAGAAAAAAAAGCTTAAAAAGCCTATTTAATTATATTCTTACAAAAACCATGTGTGAAAAAAATATAAAACATCTGTGAATAAGGTGTAGTTACTTGTTTTCTTGTTATTCTTTGTTAATCAAACAAATAATTCTATACCTTAATGCCAATCCATGACTAATAAATTTTAGTTATCTACAATACTACACTGTTTTAATAAAATAATATCACGAAGTCGATTAAAATTTTCTTAATAAAAATAAATAATTCTACATATTAAGCTCAGTTATCATGGACAGAAGTTAAATTACCCATTATAAATGTATAAACTCACTAGGAAAAATGTAAAAAGTAATTATTATGAGGGGTGTACAAAACAATGATTTCAAAATAAGATTTTAATATTACCAGAAGACTTCCAATGCCATTCTGACCTTACTGGAAGTATTCTAAGTTTAAAAAGGAAGCCATGCTGCTTTCATTTTAAATGAAGTCATTTATCCAACAAAAAATTGAAATACTTCCATCCATTCCTGACAAATATGCCTTGATGATACTTGGAAAAATATGAGAAATAGAAAACAGAATAATCAATTTTCTTTTCACAGTATAGGTCACAATGTCTACTTCAAATTCTTTGTTGAATTAATAGTGGGAGGCATTTCTCTTGCTTATATTGCTCACGTCCTTTTGTTTAAATTTTATTGACGTTATCTTTCAACACATGTATCCTTGGAAATTTAATATGGGAGATTAAAAAGAAGCAAAATATTTTAGGGTGCAGAAACTTTACAAGGATTTCTCCTGATCTGAACAGAACTGAGAATCTTTTTGTCCATTTTATAAATATATAAGGTAATGTTTTAACAAAATTAAATGACTGTTAAAATTGTCCTTAACCTTATCTTTAATTTTAAAACATAACCTATACCCCAGAATCTTGATGAAATATTAAATCACTATGAGACCAACACTGCTGATAGTATTGAGGCAAACGTCATAATGTAACATGCTGATCACATTTAAGACTCCCTTTTTACATACTATCAGTCCACAATTAAATCAATAATAATTTTAAAATTGACATTGATTTCTATGAAGAAAAGCACTTTTTATTAAATCAGTTAAAATTATACTTATAAAATTATAATTATTTACGTTTAGTCAAATTGTGTATTTAAACATGCATGTTTACGAGGCAGTCACAGTAAATCATAATTACACATATTAGTACATAATCTATTATGTCAATTTATTGTTTTTGATGGAGAGTCAAATGTTTAGAGCACTTGCTATCAATATTTTTAAAGTTTTGTCTTATTTCAACTTCAGAAAAGCTATTTCCGAACCTTCAGAAGCTTGAGAATTTTACATGAAAGATGCTATTCGCATTAGTATAATCATGCAGCCTTGTATCGAAGCCATTATGGTTGATTAAAGAGCATTTTTGTAAAGTTCTATAATTTAAGCCTATTTATAAACATGCTTATTTGATGGTTATAATTTCTGCTTTCTTAGCATTTTAAATGCAGGACTGAATATGGTTAGTTTTAATTAATTAATTAATTAATTAATTTAAGAGGAACATAAATTCATTAAAAATAAATAAAATACATTAAAATCTTTTTTAGATAATTATTTTTCCTCATGCACCCTTTTTTTATGGAATATGGGATTTAAAAGTGGCAATTACACAATTACATTTTAAGAAATTCAGATTTTGAAATAAATTGGGACAAGTATATCCTTTTTCCTTAAGACAAATATTTATCTCAGCAATTCACTCATGTATTAACCGTAAGATACTGCAGCTTTTTTCATTTACATACTAAACTATATTTAACACTTATCTTTTTCCTGCTGCAAGTCATGATAGATACTGTATTCCAGAAAATAATTTAAACTACTTGATCAGACCAGTGATCTGTTTATTGGCTAAGGTGGGGATCTTTTAAGCCTTTTCAGCATACAAAAACCATTAACATCACTAGAACAAAACCATGCACCACACAATTCAAAATTGATGCCGTTAGTATGAAAAATAAAGATAGAACACCCAAAGCAAATATCCATTCTGTCAAGCAAATATGACAAAGAATAAGTCCATTACTCGTCACTTTCTGTTCCTCTTCTTGCTTAACAGGCAAGTTCTTTTACAGTTCTTTTACACGTGCAAACCTCTGCAAAGCACTAATGTAATCCATGCCACCAAAAGGTAAATTTGGTAGTTACCAATTGTACAGGTAGGGGCCAAAGCGCTAAGGCTTTAGATTGTTCTTAATCATAAGATATCCTCAGACAAACCTCCCCAGTCTTCATTCTGGCTCTATAAACAAAATTAAGCACAATTGAAAATTTTATAGTAAATTTTGCATGATTGTGTAAAGATAATCAACTTCACATAGGTTTATGGATATTAATATATTTTAGGTTTTTCTACATGAGTATTATCAAGTACAAAGCTAGTGAAAATATGAAGAAAAATGAATGTATTACACAGATACACCTCACTTTTACCATATGATATGCAGTGAGTCTTCACTTTTCCAGAGGGTTGCCAAATTCCTAATTAAGATACTGATTTTCAGAATAGTAAGAGAATTGCTTATAAAAGCTATAGGAAATGTAGCAGTAGTGGGGACATCTTTCTTTTTCATTGCCTATCCCATTCACATATAAAAAGGTGATGGGTAAGAGAATTTTTTTTTAAAGTAAGAGAAGATTGAATCCTCCTACTCCCTTTCAGACGATCCTAATAGAGGTAGTCCTTGATTTACAACCATTTGTTTAATGATGGTTTGTAGCTATTATGGTCTCAGGAAAAGCGCCTTACAACTCCTCCTTAAAGTTATGACGATCGCACTACCTCCATTATCTGATCAAAATTCAGGCACTTGGCAATGGCTCGCATTTATAATTGTTGCAGTGTCTTGTGTTATGTGATTGCAATTTGGGACCTTCGCAGCTGGCTTCCAATAGAAAAATCAACTCAAGAAGCTGGATTCGCTTAACAACCACATGGTTCACTTAATAATTATGTGGTTTGCGTAACAACTGTAGTTTAATGACCACAGTAAAAGTGGTTGTAAAATCAGGTCCACTCCCATGATGATTCGTTTAATGACTACATCTCTTAACAACCAAAATTCCAGTCCCAATCAGAGTGATATGTTGGGAGCTTCCTGCAATGGATCCAGAAACATAAAAAGTGCAGTTCCAATTGGGGGGTGGGGATGGGGGAAAACCCAATTAAGCTGCAAGAAAATAAAAAGTTCAGCATCGTTCTTCCACAAGCTTCTTTTAAGATCCTCTTCAAACTGTTTCTATACTCATATGCAGGTTCTGCTCCAATTACTTATCAACTACTGTATAAATATCTATCAGCACTGTATCTAAATTTACTTTAAGAAACTACAATGTAAAACACGAGAAATAATGGAAAGAAACAGCTTTAGCATACTTTAAAAATTCTGTGACTTAAGTTGAAACACCAAACATCTAAGGGTGGTGACAGTTTTAAAATTTAAAACCAAACTTTGTAATTTAGATTATATAGTTTTTCTACATAAAGAATTTCCTGCATTTTGAATGAGGTTCAGTGATGTACAACTTCTCCGAAAATCAGGTACTATCAGAGTGCCCAATTAATTGATTTTAAATAGAAATTCAGCATATATATTAATAAAGCAACGTTTACATACGTAAGGTTGATTTTATATCACTACTATATCAATTGTATATAGCTATCAGAGTGATAGAAATGAGAAAACTATGACAACATACACAAGTACAACTCAACCACTAATATAGACATTTCTTCTCAATTACCTAGTTAGTTTTCTGTAACTAGAATAACTAGTATGGGAGAGTGATAAAGTCACAATTTTATATGGACCAATCTAGTGACATTAGATGTAACATTATTACATAAGCTATAATAATATGGCACAGTACTGTGTTTCCTCCATTTGTTTAGGTTACTAATCATATATAGGACTTTGACTAAAACTATTTTTACTGAATCAAATATATTTTTATTTGATTTAGGTTTCGCAACCTGTATCACTAGTGACTTGAATAGTAATAATAGTGTATAATGTGTATACAAAACATTTTAACGTTTAGAATGCCTGTGTTTATTGCTTGCACTTCTTTCCTTGGATGTATTAGTCTTGTAGGAATAACTAAGCAAGTTAAGAGTTACTTTCCTAAGCTGTTGTTTCCTCATATATTTTCAGCTCTTTATTATGACTCTAATTCAGCTTTTCTCACAAAAAACAATTAGTGTGTCAGAATCAGATATTCATTAGTATTTTAAATAGAGCCATCTTAATGGATTGTCTTGAATTCACAAATCATTCCTACATTTGAGCAGAATTTCACCTTGTGGGTAAACATGACATTATAAAAAATTCCTGCTTCTACAACCTGCAGACCTGGCAAAAAATCCAGTAACCAATGATATACCAATTTAACAAAATTAAGTTGCTGTGAAAAAGGTTCTTCATTTCAAGATCATATTAAACAAGTACTTATTAAGGATGATAACATTTTAAAATTAATTTCATTATATTATTAATAATGATGATAATAATGTTCAAAAAAGGAGCCTTCCATCCTTTTGAAGGTAGGTAAAATGAGGACCCAGTTTGTGGGGGCAATAAGCTGACTTTGTATAAAAAAAGAACACCGCTTGGGGGGGCCGAAAGCCCTACTAAGCAGGTATATACAAAAGTATGAACAGGCTATTGCTTAACGCATTGTAAGCTGCCCTGAGTCTCCGGAGAAGGGCGGCATATAAATCGAACCAATCAACCAATCAATCAATCAAATAAGAAAAAAAATGTCCTTAATTTATGCTTACACTTCATTGATGAGCATTTAAGTTTTATTCCTGTAATTAAGTGATGAGCAATGAAGTCCATTAAATAGTGTCAAAAAACAAATAATCTTTCTTAAATTCTTAAGAGGAAAGATTATACAGTATTAATGAAAAATATGAGATAAGCAAATTGTTGGGAAATGCCCAGGCAGGCAGGGAAGAAGATTCAAGGGGGGGGGGGGGGAATTAGCCTTGAATTGTTACGCAGCTGTAAGAGATCTGATCCTCCACTTCCAAGCTCCATGGGAACTTATTTACTGTATTACCAAAGAAAGGCAAGCATTCCTGTATTTTGGCAGAATTCAATGAAGTAGTTAATTGAACTCTACACATGTGGCTCTGGTTGCTTGTGCCTGACCCAAATCTGTCTTTGCCTAATTTTGCATAAATAGTCTTTTATTTTACTAAAGAGGTCACTGAATATAAAGCACATATTATTTACATAAGCAAAGTAATAAAATGTATTAAGTAGAGATCAAGCTAAATACTTATTGAACTTTTATTTTTTTATTTTCTACTCACCTAACTCCTTATTAATATAGTAGAAATCCAACAGATATTATATTTCAAGACTACAAGGGAAGTTTGTGGTTACAAATACACTCCAGATGAAAAAAGAATATGTATTATTCAAAAACTCTTAGGTATATAAATGAATTCAGTGACCATTTTATTACTTTAAAAACATCTTGAGCAGATGCATGTACAATTAATTTCTGTGAGAACAGAACAGAAACAGGAGTTAGATTTGTCATGGGTTTTACATACAAAATATTTTGAATATTTTTCTTCTACAAAGACTTTTAAAAGGAATATAATATATAGTATGGTTATTTAGTTTACTTCATTAAATTTCCTTCTATTATAGTTAGCATATCACACAATCTGCCTTATCACATAATCTTTCTAAATCACTGAGCTATAGAAGTAGGGATTTCCTTGGGAATTCTGTAACAATTCCTGACCTCCTGTCCTTTCCTTGATTATCCTCAGGACAATAACATTCTTCAAGTTATCTTGAGCATCTTCCCTGAAGCAGACAAACATGCAAATTTTCTGTCTTTTTTCCTGCCAATATCTGTGATAGGCCACTATGTTAATAACTTTGTCATTAATGTCTAAATATTTTAAATAAGTAAAGCTTTCGAATAATCAGCTCCTTCTAGAACAGCTAATTTCCAAGAAAGCTACATTTTATCAGCAAATATAACTAGATGTATTTCCCTTAAATATAAGAATTTCAACTGATAAATATAGGGACAGAATGTGATGAGGGATCAGAATAAAATAAATATATATATTAAAATATTCCATGTAATGGCAAAAAAACCCCAATTGTTTTTATTTACATAGAGCCAAGAGCCAATTGTGCAAGCCAAGCACAATTTCCCTAAAGCAACATAGAAAAATTGACTTTGCTGACATGACAGAGCTATACTCAAAACTCATTTTATCACAATATATTAATTTAAGTATTATTGTAATTCAAAGAATATAGGTATGAAAGAATGATAAAAAAGGCATTATTTACTGCTCTGTCACCAAACTTGGATAAACAGGAATAGAATAGAATAGAATTCTTTATTGGACACACAATGAATTTGTCTTGGTGCATACGCTCTCAGTGTACATAAAAGAAAAGATACATTTGTCAAGAATCATAAGGTACAACACTTAATGATAGTCATAGGGAACAAATAAGCAATCAATCATATTAGGAAACAGTCAATATAAATCTTAAGGATACTAGCAACAAGGTTACAGTCATACAGTCATAAGTAGGAGGAGATGGGTGATATTTATTTAGGAAACACATTTCCTAAATTAATAAGAAATAAAGAAATATATTTCAGCTACTACTAATCCAAGTTCAAATTTCAAATCACTTCAGGGCAAGGGGTTTTAAGTACTACAGGTCAGAAAAAGGTGAAGTTAGGGACTAATTAGCAGATCAGATATAGTTCCAATCCTTAATCTAGTTCTAAGACTAGTATTAAAACTATTTGATAAACACTTAGTACTCATCAAATTACATTAGCTATAGCAAAATGACTTTAAAAAAAAACTTAACAATAATAATGACCACAAGTATTTTAAAAAGAATCTGATTTTTGGATTTCAACAATGAGAAAAGTAAAGAGGAATACAAGTATGACAACATTATTTAATCATTCAATTAAAAAGGCAAAATGTAAGTTGAACATAAAAGTGGCTAGATCCATATGAATACAACTGTGTAGCAGCATAAAATATATAAAAAATAAAAACATTATATGGTAAAAGTGATGAAAAGCTTTTCTGCAACTTGGAAGAAATTGAACAAAATAATGTGTATCAGCCCAGCATGCTGGTGTGCTTTAACGAAGAAACAAAAATTGTATACCTCTTGTAATAGATCTGCCTGTTCAATGGCTTTAAGAACATTTTTCTTGGAGGTCTCTTGAACTTCTCCTCCCAGGAGGAATTCATCCAAAATAAAATAAGCCTTCTCAAAATTAAAGATGATATCAAGTTCACAGACCTACAAAACATTAAAAAAGAAAGATGCAATGCCCAAACAGGACTTCTCTGCAACCATCAATGGAATGCTTTCCTTCAGAAGTATGGATGACCACCACCCGTGCAACACTGTTGGCATTTTGCAAACTAGCCAAAGTATTTTGTCCCTGTGCATTCAATCCTTGAATTAGCTTATTTATGGCTCATTGATTAGCAATGTATTCATTATTAATTCATTAGTTTATTAATTTATTGATTATATCTATTTGATATTTACTGATGTTATTATCTTAATAGTAATACAGGTAGTCCTCAACTAACTTACTTACTTACTTACTTATTTATTTATTATATTTCTATACCGCCTTTCTCCCGTAGGACTCAAGGCGGTGTAGTCAAGAAAAATATAGATACACAAACATCATAAAATTGCTAATTAAGATTATTATTATAATTTATAATTATTATTATTATAGTTTGGCCCAATTAAATAGAACCTAAAATTAACTTATAATTGAGCCCGAATTTCTGTTGCTAAGTGAAACATTTGTTAAATGAGTTTTTGCAGTTGGTAAATTAAGTAACACAGTTGTTAAGTGAAACTGGTTTCCCCATTGACTTTGCTTGTCAGAAGATCGCAAAAGGTATGAACCGGTTGCCAAGCATCTGGATTTTGATCACATGACCATGGGGATCCTGCGATGGTTGTAAGTGTGAAAAATGGTCATAAGTCACTTTTTTCAGTGACATTGTAACTTTGAATGGTCACTAAATGAACTGTTGTAAATCAAGGACTACCCATGTTGCATTTTTAATTTGACTGTTAATCTGATTAGCAGCTCCAAGATCTTAGGTAGCCTACAGCCTACATTAGGGGTCTCAAACCCGCTCGCATCGCGGGCTGTATTGTGACTTATCGCGATATTTTTTGCCTTTGCGGAGCTGGGGTAAGTGTGACCTGCGTGTGCTGTATCTGGCCTGAGGGCCACCAGTCTGACAAGCCTGGTCTACATAAATAATTTTTTGTATTATCAATTTTGGACAAAATAAAGAGAGAAAATTATGAATATGTATAAGAAGCATTTTAAAGACAACATGCAAAATAACTATGAACTAATCCTCTTTGCAAAAAATGTCGTTTATTAATTGTTCTATAAACCCTGACAATCTTTGTTAGCCACAAGGCATAATTAAAAGCATTCATAATGAAAAACATTCATGTTACTCTGCTCGCAAGCTCCATGGCTATCCAACTTTTTTTAAAAATTAAATAAAAAGGTTAAATAAAGAGTTGCAAAGCAAGGCACCAGTCTGTAACAGATTTGTCGTAATCTCTTTGAATACAGAGTATGCTGGGGTAAAGAATTTGCGATTCCATTAAATTGGTAAATTGGTGTTTTGTAGCTGATCATACTCATTATGACTACATTTTGTAAACCGGCTATTTTTTCAACGTACACACTGCATATTTTCAAATTTCAAAATTTCAATTTTCTGCCATGAAAATATAGAAAAATATTTCATCCCTACAACAGAGATTTCCCTGAAGAATTCAGAACAGTATTTTGTCCAGTTTGTTCCTCTCCCACCAGGTAATCACTACTTTTTATGCTGTTTTATGGAAAATGATTTTATTGACGGGCTTTATTCAACTGTGAGAGACAGAAATCTTTCTGCTACTTCCTTTTTCCACTGAGAACCAATGAAACTACCTCTGAGACTTTTAAAAAATAGAAAAAAATACAGGAAATAACTTACACTTCCAAAATATTTATCAAGTAATTCTACATAACGATGAATTATTTCCAAGGTTATTAACTCATTATCCTGATCTTCAATGGCACAGCAGAAATAGAGGCTTGCATATCTGTAAGACACATATTTAATTTAGCAGGGATATAACAGACTTTTGTAGTCTTAATTACATTTAGAAACAGTTTAACAAAAATATTCAATCTTTAAAATAAAATTAAAATGTCACATTTGCAGACATTGACAATAAAACATTAGATTTAGTGTTTAAAAGTAAACCTAAGGTAACTATGAGCTAAGAAAATGAGAAAAAATGCTTTTAAAATCCCTTTTCTTCACTTTCTTTAAATATTGGTTGTGAAGTATGGTTGGTTGTTAAGAACAAGACAGTTTGTTGAAAAATAAAAGTTTTTGATCTCTTCTAGAGAGACAAGTATTTATTCTCACCATAATTTAAATTATCAGGTAGCTTTTTTGTAAGATGGACAGTAATACAAATTTGATTAATAAATATATCTTACAAAGGGGATTCTACTGTGCCCAGCAACTGATGGCCAAATGAAAACAATAAATGATGGAAAAGCACATTAATCAATTACAGTACAATTTGCTGTTTCTACTTATAACTCAAACTACAAAAAAGGCAGGTTCAGATGATTAAAGCTAGAAGAAACAAAGGAACAAAAGGGAAAGGTAGTTATGACATCAAGAAAAGCAGGCATAAAAGTGAGACATTAAAAAGTTGCATAATTGTTAAGAATTTTCAAAAGGAGTCAATTATGCTACTCTAACCCATTGGGGAGAACAAAGGGAATCAAAGACAAGGGCAGCGGTGCTATTCCTTTTCTACGTATTCCTTGGTGGTGCCCACAATAGTGCCCATAAGCCCAAGGAAGAGTTTGCACCACAATGTTGTTTTTTTCTCCAAAAAGTTATGAGGTAATTCCTCCTATGTTTTCAGGAACACTCAATTTCATTGTTCCTGTACCTGCTCTTTCAGTCTGACTTTGAGAACAAGTGTGTTTAACAGAATTTAGAAACCATTTCTAAAAATTTTAAACTGCATTAAAATTTGTCTTCAACACAGACCAAAAAGGATATGGTGTGTAAATACCAGACTCATATAAACATTGTTACGCAAGTCAATGTTTACATGAGTTATTTAGTCTTTCTGAAATAGAACATTACATAAATTGGAGAGTCTAGGAAGTAAACTTTTTTTTCACATAGTGATGTGCTAAATGACCTGTGGTAAATTAAATTGATTGGACATGATTTGGAAAGGCACACACCTCTTGAATAGAAGGCCTCACAGCTGACAATGAATACTGTAGCAGAGCAAAAGCCATCAAGTCCAAGAAACTGCCTTCAGAGCTCAGAGACAGGATTGTTGCAAGGCACAGATCTGGGGAAGGCTACAATAAAATTTTTGCTGCACTGAAGGTTCCTAAGAGCACAGTGGCCTCCATAGTTCTCAAATGGAAGAAGTTTGGTACAACCAGGATTCTTTCAAGAACTGATCACCCGGTCAAACTGAGCAATCGGGGAGAATGGCCTTAATAAGAGAAATGACCAAGAACCTGATGGTCACTCTAACTGAACTCCAGAGATCCTGTGTGGAGATGTGAGAGTTCTAGAAGGACAACCATCACTGCAGCTATTCATCAATTTGGGCTTTATGGAAGAGTGGCTAGATGAAAGCCCACCTGAAGGACTCTGACTGTGAGGAACAAACTCTTAAGTAGGCTTTCGTGTGTTTTGCATTGTCAGTAGAGAGGTATGTAACTTTCCAAATCATGTCCAATCAATTTAGTTTACCACAGGTCAATGCCATTCAAGGTGTAGAAACATGTCAGCGACGAACAAGAGAAATGGGAGGCACTAGAACTAAATTTCACATGTTGTTGCAAAGGGTCTGAATACTTATACCAATGTGATATTTCAGTTGTTTATTTTTAATAAATTTACAGATATTTTTAAAATTCTGTTTTTACTTCATCATTATGGAGTACTAAATGTGTTTCAACAACTGTAGAATCAAGCTGCAGTACAACAAAATTGATAAAAATGAAGAAGTCTGAATACTTTCTGAATGCACTGTAGTTAGCTAGGTATTTTACATAATTCTCATATTATGTTCCACTGACTATTTAATTATTATACTGTTTTTGGGCCTGCGTAACACTTTGACCATCACTGAAAAAACATAAATAATTGAGTTCTTTATTTCCCATGAAAATATATGGCTACTGCATGACAATAAACAGAAAAAAATATTGCCATTCCATTTTCAAAATGCATCCATTCCTTGACTGGGCAAGAAAATAAGGTATTTATAATTTTAGTAAGTAATTAAATATTATGCATGAATTCTTTGGGGAAATTGCCACAAAACATCTTTGATTAGAGATTACAGCTTACTTTTCTACATCACTCCAGGTGGTCCTTATATTGAATACAGCCTTAATAAATTGTGCAAAACTTGGTACAAGAAATGATGTCAGGTACTAAGATTTGGGAGCAGTTTCAAAATTCAAATCATGAAGAATTGGTGTCAGACAAATTTTCAGTTAAAGATATAAATGCAGTATTATAATGACAATCTGTGAAAAATGTATGTACAGCATAGAAAATTTCTATGGTAGTTTGCACTTTCTTTAAAACCAGTGTTTCTGATACATGCTAATTGTTCCTGTGCAGTTGTGGTAGTTGAGGTTTGGTGAGTTGTGGCAGTTGTAGTAGTTGCACTTTGTGGTAGTTGAGATGACTCTGTAGGATTCATATCACAAAATGAAAAATTCAAACTGAATTTTATTTCCATTTTCCAATTCTGAAGTTGAATTTAAATTTAAAAAATAGAAAACATTATTTCATCGTTCACACTATGGTCTTCATTGTTATTTAATGTGCAAAAGAATAATTTTCTCCATTTTGGGTGGACTTTCTATATTTCATGAGATTAGATTCTAGCTTGAAGCAAATTTTTAATTAAACCACAGCGAATAAACATCTTTTGAAACCTGTATTGCAGCTGAATACAGAACTATTTTACATAGTGCAGTGTACCAATGTGATACAGTTCTAAGAACCTGAAAAGGTGGGAGATCCATCCATCCATCCATCCATCCATCCATCTCATGCACACATACATATACAAAATAATTTCATATTTTTTCAGTACATTTTAAAATGTATCACATGCCCATTTATTAGCATTTTAGGCATGAATTAAATAAAAGGCATTTTCTATAAGAAAATAAATCATTTGTTTTTCTGATCCCAAATAGTTTTTCTCAGATGTGTGATAAAACAATACAACCTTTTATAGACAATCTTCAAATCTCTCCATTCCAGGAAGCTGCACATTTTCGGTTTACGGGCTAAGACCGTTTGAACAAGTTCTCTTGTGATTTTCTTCTTTTCTTTGTCAGATAATGGGACATACCATTTTTGAAGTCTCAGTTTTCCCTGGCGACTAAAAAGCAACATAAACTGCATCTGTTGAATTAAATAGAATATTTCATGTTAGCCTTTCTCCCACATTGTATACAAGTAGTCCTGAACTTACAAGTTTATTTAGTGACTTATGACTGTTTTTCACACTTATGACCGCTGCAGCATCCCCATGGGCATGTGATCAAAGTTTGAATGTTTGGCAAGTGGTTCATATTTATGACAGTTGCAGTGTCCCGGGGTCATGTGATCACCTTTTGTGACCTTCTGACAAGCAAAGTCAATGGGGAAGCCAGATTCACTTAACAACCATGTTACTAACTTCACAACTGCAGTGATTCATTTAACAACTGTGGCAAGAAAAGTTGTAAAATGGAGCAAAACTCACTTAACAAATGTCTCATTTAGCAATATAAACTTTGGGCTCAATTGTGGTTGTAAGTCGAGGACTATCTGTAATTGTGCTTTATGTCTAAGCCAGCTTTCTTAAACTGTTTTTTTCAATTAAACTTTAAAATAGTACACTTCTCAAATTTTGTGCTGCATATTGCAATACTGTTTGCTCCAATCTAATATCCTTCAGGTGGTAGAGCCACAATTCTCACAATCTTAAATCAACAGTAGCACATTATACAACAAGACGTTTAGTAGGTTCAAAACTAGGATATGCCTCTGTATTTAAAAACCAAGTGTATATAATAAATATAGTAATGAGTATTCAAAAATAATGAACTAGTTTTATAAGTGCCCAAAGAACTTAAGAATATTCTAAGCTACTACTTAATTATTCTTTTTCATCTTTGCCCGTACTGTTTTATATTCCTGGAATTTATTCTTTAATGTTAGAAAGTTTTTCTGCTAGAAAAATCTATCATTTCATTTAAGTGTTTCCAATATTGAGGTCTCTACTATCAATGCAGTTGCAGGTGCACAAAATATTAAACACAATCTATTCAAAGTCCTGAATATCAAAGTATCTTAAATTATGTGTGGTATTCCTCTTGCATATTTCAAAACTGCACAGAAAAAAAATCTTAGGCAGAATCACCACCTCAGCCTAAGTGCAATATAAAGCACAATCTATACAGCCTTTCAACTGATGAGAAACTTGTGAGAACTCAGAAAAAATGAGGAAATGGGTATATATGGTTAAAAATGTAGAGTCACATTTTGCAATTAGGTAGTATTTGAAGATGAGTTTTTATTTCAATAGAAACTTATCTATTTTGATGCCAGCAATTATAGCACAATTATGAGACACATATTCAGTGCTTTTTTAAAAAAACAGTAGCTATAGTTTAATGAAACAATATGAGTGAGAAGTGTTTTATTTCCTTCGGCTACCCTACCAGAATTTTTTTTTTTGCCACTAATATAAATAGTCTATTGTAAAAAAGCTATTCTGAGACAACAATTATTTTTCTATAAAAAGATGATTCAATATATTGAAATTGAATTAGTAGATGAGGAAGCACTATAGATCCAGCTCAGCCACATTGAGCCACTATTATTGAAATTACAATGATCAGTCACAGAATAAGCTAAAATTGGGATTCAAGTCTTTTTTGCAATGAAGAGAGATTACTGTATGGAATATTTTTAACACTGAAATAAAAAGTATTATATAGAAAAAGTCCTTCCTTCAAAATAGTCACTTTTATTATAATTAATCATATCTTTGTAACCCGTTTTTGTGAGGACTAGTTATGCCCATTCAATACTGTTTTCCCTTACTGCAAATCATAGCTTTAATCAAAATAATCTGCATATTAGAACGAAACTCCCTAGGACATAAATATTTTATTTTTTCCTTTTTTTTCATAAGACTGGGAAACTGGGAAAAACCCTAAATAATAAGCATCCATGCTCCAATGGTTTACTTGACCTCATTTTTGTCTAAGTTGACTTTAAAGTTATCTTGCCAGCTTGTATCATTAGGGAGAAGTTGAAAGAAAAGTGGAGCAGAGAGGCTACTATAATATTCCCTAAATGGGGTCTCTAGATCATTTCATTTATCCAGAATCACCACTAATTTTATTGTTTCTGCAGTTCCACGGAAGAATTTTATTCTCAACTGATTTGCCTATTTCGCAAAGTAGCAAAAAATAAAAAATAATAACTGGCCCACAGCCAGATAACTCTTCTGTTTTCCTACTATGTTTATATTGCCTCCTTCTTCCGGAAGAAAAATTGTTGCTCAAAAGACAAAGCCGCTATATAAGACTTTATGATGTGTAATATCAGAGCAGCGCGTTGGGAAACACCGTCATTAGCACTTCTGTTTTATATAGAAGCTGTGCTTGGAAGAGTTCTGCTCACGGCACCCGTCACTGTTTATTTTAAATCTGATTAGGTAAAGGGATGCTTTAACGAACTAACTGCCTCCTTCACACATCCACTCAGAAAGATACACGTAAATTTAGCGGCAAACAGATCCAGCTTAAAGAGGAGGAAGCGGAGTGCACTCTCGAATACTTCGGCTAATTAAAGAACAATCAGGTGGATCCTCAGGATTTCGAGAGAGAGAAGCCAAGAGGAGATCGTCTTCCCGTTTGACCATCCAGTAAAGCGCACCGAGTACCACGCGAGGGGCGAGCGCAGCGGTGTCACTCCTCCTTCCGCCAACAGCACGAGAGGTCACGCGGGTGCCAGCAACGGGGCCCAATCCCTCAAGCTGGAGCCGGTTTTGGCACACACGCGCAGAGTCCGGCACAACCCCCTCTCGAAGTACACCTCCAATTGTAGGGGGCGAGCGTTCACGCGCATGCAGGCACGGATCCGCACAAGGGACGAGGAGAGGCAGAGAGCCCCAGCCGCGCAGCTCTCCCAGTCACCCATCCCAACCTAAACCGTTTTTTTCGTGTACCTCCACGCGACTTCAGAGGTGCCGCCGCCAACCGCCGCGCTCCCGGCTCAACTCCCCCATGCTTACCGTTATCCCAGAAGCGTTGGCAGGCGCGCGCACGGCTGAGGGAGAAAAAAAAAAAAAGAAGGAATCCGACAACCTCCCACCCGAAGCACTGGGCGAAGAGGCGGGGCTGCTAGCGGCAAGGAGCCCGAGAGCCGGGGCCGAAAGAGAAGACGCGAGGGAGGGATACAGGCCAATTCTAACCGTCGAACTTCATTCGCTCTTCCGAGCAGAGTCTATCCTGTCGAGAAAAAGAGGAGGAGAAAGGATTCCCAGGGTAGCCAATCCCTGAACAGAAAATGTACGCGATAAAATAGAATGGGTAAGAATCGGCGCTGGTACTACCCGAAAGATACAGCAGCTTGGCAGGAGGGAGAGGAACCAATCAGAACAAGAAGTAAACGTAGCTTTTTATATAGCCAATCAGAAGACATCAGGGAGTGATGTTAGCCAATCAGAGGCCAATTGGGAGGCCTCTCTTTTTACTCATCCGGGAACAAACCGATACATCGATGACTAGAATAAAATGGGCATGCGCCGCTACGTTGCTGATAGCGACGTTTCGCTTGTCATTCTTACTAGGTTTTGCCAACACGTAGTCTTTCTCTTCTTTCTTTTGTGCGCAGATTTTTAAGCAAGTCAGGGAAATTGGAATATTGTTACAAAAACAGCTACCCAGCATAAATTGGGAGGAGACTGGCAAGCGATTTTACATGGCCTATGGCTATCCAATTGTAACTAATCTAGGCAGTTGTGCAGGGAAATTATTTTTGCTATGTGCAACCAATTATTACATGCAATTAGTTGCAGGAGAATATACAAGATAAATGGCAAGGAAACGAAGAAGGTAATGGTGGATATTCTATTCCAGAAGAGTGTTGTCAATTTCTCTAAGAACAGGGCAGGCTCAAATGGTTTGTTTATTACTAGGAAATAATTAGTTTGTATGAGAAACACATTTTGGATACATTTTTTGTTGTGAACAACACATTTTTGTTGTGAACAACAAAGATGTAGGAAAGACCAGTAATAGGTTTATTTCAAGTGGTAGATGCTGGAAGGATGAAAATCATTGAGTGGGATATAAAGACTACCCATCTGTTTTATGTGTAAAATACTATTGTTAGGTATGGTGGAAGATCCTTCACAAGTCTTGAATTAAAATCCTTCTCTCTCTCTCTCTCTCTCTCTCTCTCTCTCTCCCTCTCCAAAGTAGTTTTTAAAAAACTTTCCCTACGAAGGTGTGTGTTTCACACTCTACCATTTCTACAAAAGCATTGTATTTTTCCTTTCTTCCAACTCTAAACCTGATCTAATGGTCTCAAACAGCAGGCTGGTTTGTGCAGGATGGAGTACCTTCAGATCAGAACATACTCTGTGTCTCAGAGTAAATACATGCATTTGTAATATTAGAAAGATGCATTAAAATAAATGCCTTTTACCAGTACAGTTTCAAATATACTGTGTAATTGTATTTATATAATTTATTACTTTATTCTTTTAATAAGTTTGGATGAGTATTTTAAAAAGGCCAAAAATTTTAAATAGAATTTTCATCTGTGCTATTGCAAAAACAAAATAGAAGGCTTCTCAATTTATCACACAACTAAGTGAAAAACAAAGCATGACATTGACTATATCTGAAAATAAATGAATTGAATTTATTAATTTATTTAAAATTATCAAAAAGGGATTTAAATTGCCCCAATTATATAGGTCAGAATGGAAATGTAGGTAATTGATTCATAACCGTCATAAATAGCTTCTTCCACTGAGTGAAATAATTTATTTAACATATGTAGTATACTGTAACTGACATGAAGCCTAGCTATCGTATTTTTCGGACTATAAGCACCTAGGTTTAGAGAAGGAAAACAAGAAAAAAATAGTTTTTGGCCTCTGTGCATCCCGTTTTTACCCTCCTCAGCATCCAGAAGCACTCTGCAGTCCCATTTTTGCCCACCCTGGCATACAAAAGCACTCTGCCCATTTCTGACCTCTGGTGGCTTCTGCAGGTCCCGTTTTTGCCCTCCCTGGCGTTGGGAAGGCTGAAAATGGGATGTGCAGAGGGTTTGGGAGGCCAAAAACGACCCCCTTTTTAGCCTGCAGAGTGCTTCTGGACTTCATATATTTAATCAGAAAACAATTGATAAGAGATGGTATTAAGAAACAAATGTGGATATATATATTTTTTAATTTGATTTATATGCCGCCCTTCTCCGGAGACTCAGGGCAGCTTACAATGCGTTAAGCAATAGCCCTCATACTTTTGTATATTTTATACAAAGTCAGCTTATTGCCCCCACAAACTGGGTCCTCATTTCACCTACCTTAGAAAGGATGGAAGGCTGAGTCAACCTTGAGCCTTGGAGAGATTCGAACCAGCAGAAATTGCAGACAGCTGTGTTAATAACAGGGTGCGTATACCACTGTACTATCAAGGCTCTATTTGATCCAGGATGAATCACTGTTAATTCTTGAGATGATCTAGGATAATTAAGAATCCATGGTAAATTTTCTATGAGTTGATTACAAAAACAGTTTGCTAATGGAAGGTTTTGTCTTCATTATTATTATTATTATTGTTCTTCCTGTTAACTATTTTGTCATTAATATAGTATATTGAGGACAGGTTAATAATTTGTAGATAGAATTAGTAGTTTAAAATTTTGGGGGGGCTGTTTCACAAGGGGTGGGAAACTAATATTGTCATTATATATTAAGGAGCATTCAACTGGAGCAGGGGTGTCAAACTCAAGGCCCAGGGGACAGATCCAGCCCATGGGTTGCTTAGATCTGGCCCGCGTGGCTGCCCTGGAAACAGCAAAGGATCAGCCCATGGTGCCTCTGCTAGCAAAAACAGAGCTTGGGAGGACTGCGCGCGGTCCGCCCAGGCCCCGTTTTCAGCCCTGACGGCTTCCTGCAGCCCTCTTCCAGCAAAAAGGGAGCTCCATTTTCGCTGGCAGAGGGCTGCAGAAGGCCATTGAAAACGGACCCAGGGGCACGTGCAGCCCACCCGAACTCTGTTTTCACTGGCAGAGGGCTCCAGGAGGCCATCGTGGCTGAAAATGGAGCTCAGGAGCCCATTTCTCTGGCAGAGTGTTCAGGCCACCACAGATGCCCCCGACTGAGTAACGTCAAGCTGGTGTAGGAAGTTAGCACCCACCCCTCTCCTAGAAGAATGAAATATTTTAGGAAATATTAAAAAGGCAGAATATTTTGTTTCCCTAGATGAGAAAAGGAGAAACATATTTTTAAAGACAAGGCAGGCTTCCTGCAGCTCCCTGCCCCCACCCTTCAGCTCCAGGGTGATGGGATTAAGGCATGGCCCTCAGGCAGGGGTGGGTTCTAAAAAATTTTACTACCGGTTCTGTGGGCATAGCTTATTTTATGGGCGTGACTTGATGGTCATGTGACTGGATAGGCATGGCCAACTCAATGTCACTCACGTCAAGGGGTGCCTCGCCTAGCCCCTCCCCTCCCAGCCATTCCTTGTCACACCCAGCCTCAACATATCTATAGTTCTGTAAAAATGTTGTTCACCTTTTTTCAACTTTATTATCTACATACTATAGATGCACTTTCATGGACCATTGAAAGGAGGAAATGTCTCACATGCTTTGCCCAAGAGTGTGATAGGCAACAGGCTTTTAAGGGGCTGCCAGAAAGAAGGTGGGGGGGCAATGTATTTTGCAAAGCACCAGAAGGCAAAACGAAGCAATGGATGGAAACTGAACAAAGAGAGAAGCAACCTAAAACTAAGGAGAAACTTCATGACAGTGTGAGCCAATATAGGTGCAGAAATATTTCAGTCATAATTTCACATATAAAACAGCCATTCGTGTAATACAACCTGCATATTGTTCAAAACAGTCATTAGTATTATCATGGCTGATGTTTGACAGCAAGCCTAAAAGTTAAAGATTACAAGAGTGCTTCTTTCTCTGTATGTATACAAAACATCACATACCAGGAATAGCATATTAAGATGGACTTATGCAGTGGTGGGTTTCAAAATTTTTTACTACTGGTTCTGTGGGTGTGGCTTGGTGGGTGTGGCGTGGCATGGCGAGCGTGACGGGAAGGATACTGTAAAATCCCCATTCCCTCCCCACTCCAGGGGAAGGTTACTGCAAAATCCCCATTCCCTCCCCACCCCATTAACTTGCTCTGGGAAGGAATCAAACTCCCCCCTCTTCATTTCCCCAAATAAAATATTACTCATAAGAAAAGCAAGGAAAAATCAAGCTGCTAACAAGGAACCTGCCTGATACTCATTCCACATTCCTGCCAGCTGCATAAAGGACACTTTATAGGAAGAAAACAGCTTAGAGATAATAGAAAGTGGAAGCCAGAAGTTCGTCTCCATTTACAAGCAGGCAGAAAACTCATTCAGGACAAGATATTTCACAATGGAAATCGGCCAAACCTTTTTAGAAACACAAAGCCCATGTTGCACAAACCCCAAAACTTCAAAAACATAGAACCATATAAGAATCCCTCCTCTTATCCAGTTTGTTGTTCAGCTGACCCAGAAATGAACTGCTGAATGTCACTTCGCTTCTGCAAGGAAAAACCTCCTTCCAGCAGCTACTTCTTGGCTTGTCAATTTAAAGCGATGGCGTCTTTTATTTACTTTTTTTCCCCTGGCTGAGAAGGAGTCCTGATTTTTTCCTTCTAGCCAATCAGTTGGGAGGCTTCTTGGCTTCTCAATTTAAAGTGACAGTGTCTTGTTTTTTTCTCTTCTTTTTCAAGTGAGCCCTGATTTTTTTCCTTCTAGCCGATCAGCTGGGAGTCGGGAGGCAGCAAATAGATTGGGGGCAGGGGCAGGCAGAGGTGGTATTTACTAGTTCTCCAAACTACTCAAAATTTCCACTACCAATTCACAAGAACCGGGGAGAACCGGTAGCAACCCACCACTGCCCTCAGGACATGATACGATTAGCTCTCTACCCATCTCACCACATGGCACCTGGGAAGATTTCATCACCCAGCAAGGCTCAACCAAGCCTGGGACTCAGGACAGCCTACAGAGTTTCCCCTGCATGGCCCCATGGGAGTCTGACAACCAATCAGAATACAAGCTCAAATTCAAACGGGTATAAAACTCAGGCACTCTTGGCATCTCTTCTCTTTTTTTCTTCACCCAACATCATCAAGCCATGTGATCTTTTCCACCATTAAGAACCATCTTTCCAAGCAGTCTCTTATGTTTCCAGTGTCTTTCTCCCGACTTGGAACTGAACCCAGATGGACATTTCTTCCAACACTGGCCATGTTCACACTGGCCACACCCATCTCGGCACCTGAGGTCAAACACAACCCTGATGCGGCCCTCAATGAAATCGAGTTTGACACCCCTGAACTAGAGGGAACAATATATGTATATGTACCCTGTTTTCCCCAAAATAAGACATCTCCTGATAATAAGCCCAATCAGGCTTTTCAGCACATGTGCTAAAATAAGCCTCTCCCCGAAAATAAGCCCTCCTCAAAAATATTTAAATGCAGAGCTGGAAATCAGGTAAGACGGCAAGAGAGCCCCATCTTGCTTCACACGCCCCAAAATAATAAGACCTCCCTGAAAATAAGGCCAAGCTCTTATTTCGGGGTTCAAAAAAATATAAAACGGTCTTATTTTTGGGGAAACACAGTATTAGTTTTTTAAAATGTACTTTTTAATGTTTTGTTTTGTGTTTTTTCTTTGGTTTTTTTTTTTAATTGGTATTTTCTATTTTAACTTTTTTTGAATATGCGTGGTAGGGATCCAACAATCATTCTGTTGTTTTTATCAAAGTTAGCAAGCTACCATGTCGGATATGAGTTTATACAGTTCTTAATAGATCACAGTAACTTGAATATGCACCTACAGACACAAAAATGCAGAAGAAGCTGTTTTACAACTGATAAAAAGGAACCAGAGTAACATCCTGAAGAAAATATAGTAACACCCCTGCACATTACTATAGAAATGAGAGATGATAGTGTGTGTTGTTAAACACACTATTGAGAGTATTGCAGTTCTTTGGAGCATATTATTGCTATATGAATATGGGCCCATAATATGGTAACATGATCCAGCTAACAGAAAGCAAGTATTCTAAATTATGTGTGTATAAGTAAAAGTAATTACATAACAATATAAAAGTCACCCAGGTATGTTCAGCAGGTATGGCAATTAATATATTTAATTGACAGTGTAAGCATAAGTTCTCTAAAAGCAAACATTCACTCCTTAATGGGAACACTGGAGATTATTTTAAAAGGACTAGATCCAACACTTTCAAGTCTATGCAGCAATCTAGAATGATGAAATATGTAGCAAAAATAATTTTTTTAATCAGCTCTGTAACCATTTTACACTTGTCAATGGTTGTATTGTGAGGAAATTGAAATTGAATGTTGGAGGAGCTTCTTACTTGACACCTTGGAGTAGTGAAAATGGAGGCAAATTTTCTTAGCTAGGAATAGACTAAGATAGTGGTTCTCAATCTGTGGTTTGGAAAACCTTTGGGGGTCTTGATTTCATCACAGGGGGTCTACAAAAGCTTGAAGAAATGTTATGATTTAAATCTCGAATTAAGCCTCAGTGGTCCATGGCCACAAAAAGTATTTAAAGGGGGTCTGTGGTGAAGAAAAGGTTGCAAACCGCTGGATTAAGAAATGAAACAGTTTGCGTTAAATTGCTTAAATTGCCAGCCTATCCAAAGGCTGCCCAAAACAATATTATTTCATCCATGGAACTGGCCTGTCTTGCCATAGCAAAGAATTTCCACTCATTGCAAGACATTTATTGTCACAACCATTTTAGTTGCGAATGCATATTCAGAGTGCTCAGAAATGCTTCCAGGGGCTTCAACACTGTTACGCATGCCATAGATACATTGAAATAATCTTTCGTGGCAACAGATATTCCAGAACAAAAATGAACACAGACTGTAGTAAAAAGTTGCAAACATTTTGGGAAAAAAATGGAATAATATACTATATAACATCAAGCTTTTATGATCCATCTACTAATGGATTGGCTGAAAGTTTTGCTCAAAGTCTCAAGAATGCCACGTGAAGAATTCCTGAAGAAAACATTAAATAAAAAATTGTAAAATTTTCAATTTGCATATTGTAACAATAGTGATTGCAATAGGAAATCAAATATCAGTGGTGATGTTTTTAGGTCATATTTTATGTTCAAGTTTAGTCTACTCAACTCTAATTTGAGGGTGTTCAAGATAAACATCTGAAAAAAAAATTACCCACAATGAAACAGGACACCTGTTCATTATACAAAATGTACTAGCAAGAGAGTTCACAGGGAAATATAAATGGACAATGAAAAGGATGCTCATATTGGATATTATTCCTGATAACATTTGGAGAGAACACACCAACCATTTGATGAGAATAAATTTATAAAAAGAAGAATAATGCTTGGAGAATAATGTCATTCCTGTAATTCCAGCGCTAGCTCTGTTAGTACTTTCCCTCTAAGTAAACTAAGGTGACCAGATTTTAACATTGGTAAAGCGGGACACCCACAATTTTGTGGGCGTGGCTTGGAGGTCATGTGACTGGGTGGGCGTGGCTAGCTGGTCATGTGACCGGATGGCCATGGCTATGTGTATAGAAAAAAGTCATTTCTGACAGGTCCTCGCACTTTTGACTGGTCCTCACACTTATGACCATCCTCACATTTATGCCCATGCAGCATTCTTAACAACCATGTCACTCATTTCACAACTGCTTCTCTTCACCATGGTGATAAGATAGGGCAAAAAACATAAAATGTGAGGACAGTCATAAGTTTGAGGACTGGTCAAAAGTGCGAGGACCAGTCAAAAATAACTTTTTCAGCCCTCTGAGTAGTCCATATGCATAAAAGGATACAGCAATAGAGAGGGATGAAGGAAAGGAAGGGAAATTAGAGTAGGAATGAGGGTAAGAGAGTGAGGAAGAGAGGAGGAGAAGGAGAAAGGAAGAGGAAGTAGGGAGGAGAAGAAGAGGGGGGAAGAGAAAGTAAGAAGGAAAGAAAAGAGAGAGGTGGTAGGTTTGAGGAGAAAGATTGCTGTACAAAAAAAAAAGATGAAAGGGAAGACTTTAAAGAATAAAAGAGAACAAATATGAATAAATAGCAATAATTAGAAACACATACAAACATACAATGTATTTTCTTTGAACAGAATATTTGGTTGGTTCACAAATTTAAACAGTGTTTAGTCATTTCAATTAAATTTACAATTTCTATATTTCCTTTTTGCCATATTTATTCCTCATCTATTTTTTAAAAAAACCAATATTACCCTTCATCCTCATCTCTAATCTTAATCAAATTCAATTTTTCCCTTCTATTCTATATTATACCCCTTCCCATTGTCATCTATTTTTATATCCATCCTCACATTGGTTAATTATGTAATTATGTAATACAGTTGTTTAATACAAATCCAAGATTTTAATATAAATCAATTAGTTATATAACTATCTTTTTTGTATATTAATCAATATGAACATGGATATTCCAATTATTTCCATGCAATCCAGTTTCTTACAAATCAATTAATTATATTTACCAATAATAATAAACCAAATAATTTCCCCCATATAGTCCTCCAAACCACAACTTAACCATTTCTGCTTTCAACACAATATACAATTAATAGTATCTCAATTATTACAATTCCCTAGTTAAATAGAGGTTTTTTTCTTTTATGTTTTAAAATCTTGAACTCTCCTCTTTTGCCCTAAATTTCCCATTGTTTGCAGTTTTGCACCTACCTTTTTTGGTGAGGAAAAAGAAAAAGAAATCTCTCTCTGCCTCATTTTGCCACGTTGCAGCAAAGACCCTGCTTTACTTTCAGTTTCGCTCTTTCAGCATAGTTAGGGGGAAAAAATCTCCAGCACTCTGCAGCTAGCAACTACAGAGCCCTGAGCAAAACAGCTGAGAGCAAATCAGCTGAGAGTCGGGAAGCTGATCTAATCAACTTGTGCTAATTAACCTATGCTGAAGCTTTAACGGGCTGTTTTTTCTATTTTTGCAGGCATCGGTCTACTCATTTGTTTTTTTTTAACACTGATCAGCTGTAGGGCAGCCCTTTGAAGCCCCGCAGCAAGAGTTTAAACAGTTTTTTCCCTCTAGCCATCAGCTGGGACTCAGGAGGCAGCCAGGAGCAACCCACCACTGCGCAGTTCCCTAGCTTGTCATGCATTCTTTCCAAAAATCGGGAGTTTTTAAAAATGCCACGGGACGCGGGACAAATTGTTCAAAAGCGGGACTGTCCCGCCAAAAGCGGGATGTCTGGTCACCTTAAAATAAACATACAAATAGTGTCAGATAGACTTGAGCATTTTTGGCCTTATTGACAGATATGCTCCTATAAAAACCACAATCACACCTAGATTTTAAACAGAGATCTGTATTTTATTAAGTACTATGTTATTGTCTTTAGTGATTGATTAAATATGACAGTCATTTTGTGTAATTAGAAAGTTACCTTATAAAGTTTACATATTCATTGAAGTGTTAGTTCTAGATGTTACTGATATTGCCGTTTTTCATCCTCTTCCTCCTTGTTTGTTTCAGTAAATCAAGCAGCAGTAAAAGATAAACCTAAATCCTGCCTCTATTGTATTTTTGTTCAGTAGAAAGAAACAACAAAAAGGATGAGCGTTTCCCACTTTTCCTATATTAAAACTTTCCAATACTCTGGCTAATTTCTTGCAATATACCCAGTCTTCCTTCCCTATAGTCCTGCTAGAACATAATCTGAACAAAGGCTTGGCCAGATATACACCTGCGACTGACCTGCTCATGGTTCAGCTTTATTTTAAGCAGAAACATATATGTATCCCTTAGCATGCATGCAATAAGGTCATCCCTTATCAGAATTCGAGGATCTTGCCCAATAATTACTCAGAGTCTGTCATGATAATAATTTTCATTTATTCATATCTGATCTCTTGCAGGAGATGCAGAGGAAGAACCAAGAATCAGGGAGGATTCGATATATATATATACAAAGGAGGAGTGGTCAGAGGTAAGTAGGAGTGGTTTTGGGAATGATGTAGACAGAATGGGAGGTAACCATAACTATATACAAAGATAAATATATTAGGCATTTACATATGTGACAGAACCCCCTCTAAATGCCTAAGATAATTGTATGTTCAGCTTTGACCTTAAATATAAATGCTGTTTGTTAGGTAAGGGTTTCGTAAGTATGTCTGCTATTTGCTCACTTGTTTCACAATGTATGGTCTTTAGAAATCCAATATTAGACAACTGCCTTACATGTTTGTACTTAATATCGATGTGTCTGGATCTTTGGCCCACTGCATCTGATTTGGAGATTTCTATGGCAGCTTTGTTATCTTCACAAATGATGATGGGGTAATTGGGTTCATTCCATATGGTAGTTAATAAATCGTCAAACCATATGAGATTATTTGCTGCCTTTGATAAACATACAAACTCAGCTTCAGTAGTAGATGTTGCAACTAGATTTTGTTTTCCTGTGTACCAGTGGATGGGACATCCATTGAGAAAGAGAATATAACCTGAAGTACTTTTTCTAGTTTTTACATCTCCTGCCCAATCAGCATCAGCATAACAGGAGAGTGTGGGTATTGGTGTGTCATCTGGTTCTAATCTCAGAGATGCACCTGAACTATGTTTCAAATATTTAATGATTTTTTTTAACAGCTTCCCAATGATAAATAGTGGGTCTGCTTACATAACTATATACGAAGATAAATATATTAGGCATTTACATATGTGACATCCCTGTCACTGATTATTCAGATATCTTATCTACCTTACTAAAATCTGTCTTTGTCGCCAAACACAGAAATTAAAGGAATTTATAGAAATGCAGAGTTTAAAAGTCTTAACATCCCAAAGCCACATTCCAACTGATTTAATTACAATGTTTAAACTTTATTAAAGTTACAAGAATATTGCAATAATTGTTCTTGTACTTTCTTCTGAAACATATAATAGGAATATGCAGAGGAATTTAAACTTGAAATGTTTTGATGTTTTCAATTGTATTTTAAACAAACAACATGTTTTGTGGGGTTTCTTTCAAATACAAACCAAATATTGAAGTGAAACTGCTCAGGTTTTTTATGCTGTTTTAGGCAAAATGACTGGAAATCATCTAGCCTCTTGCAATCTTGTCTCTAATATTTTACTGGCTTTGGGTGGGTAGCTGTCTTGAAGTGGATCATTGGAGCAAATCAGATATATTAAGACACATATGACATAGCAAGGGAACTTTTGGGATTTGATTCTTTCATTCATTGTGCCATTGCCTGACTGCATGGAAGGTAACCTGCTACTGCTGAGTATTGTTTGTTTTTGAAAGATTTCTATGAGGAAGACACATAAGTCTATGTGTGGGTTTGGCCTTCAGAAGAATAGTAGATGAAGTGCTAATGTAATATTGGCTTGATTGGCCTATTGAATTCAAATGAAATGCATATTATCTGTTATTTTAGTGATTCAGGATGACTTTATAAATCAGGAAACCTTCCTTTTCAAATAAATTTTGAAAGCTCTACAATCAACACTACCACAGCGCATGTACAAAGCACATTTAGTTACCTAAGTTTAGCAAGCCATTAAGTTGATGTCTCTTTTTTCCAAAAGGTCTGCTATCCTGATAGCTTCTTTAGTTTGGTTGGCTGCTTGAAAATTGCTATTTTTGGACTTCAAATGCATTTGAAAACTAAAAAAGATCATGTTGAAAAAGAATGATCGGTTGATTGGGTTACTGAAGTTTGGGATCTCATCACTGCACTCTGTGTATTCTCTTCCACATTTTTGTTTGTAGAGATTCATGTAAAACTATAAGTCAGTTACAGTACCAAGCTTAGGAGTGGGTGTGCATTCTATTCATGCTAATGAGGTCTATTTGTAGTTGGCTGACAAACCATACATATGAGTAGTCTTTAATGGCACTACATCTACCTGGAGAGAAGTAAGCAGTGGGTACCACAAGGCTCCATCTTAGGCCGACTACTCTTCAATATCTTCATAAATGACTTAGATGAGGGAATAAAAGGAGAACTCATCAAATTTGCAGTGACCAAGAGGAAGCTGAGTGCTGGGGGAAAGCACTGACCAAGCCTCCCCCCCGGGCTGGACCTTTCCGAGTGGAGGAGGTCAGGAGCCTGGAAGATTCATCAAGATCCAGATGGTCCATTGGAGTCAGAAGGAAGGAAGACTGGGAAGGAAGAACTAAAGGGGTGACCATCATCTGAGGTGGCCAATGGTGAGAAAGGCAACTGGAAGAGCTTGAGATGAGGACGAGGAAGGTGGAGAATCTGGTCATGCCAACCTACTGATGAAGCAAGTCATGCAGTTCATGATGAAGAAATGTGAGCCACAGGCTATGGCTGTCACCAGCGAAGCCTAGCAGACCTAGGAGGAAGAAGTTGGGGGATGAGTGTTGCACTAAACACTATGGCGGGGGATGCAGTGACCCCAGTGGTTGTTGCAGCTGCCACAGGCATAGTACCAAGGGGATTGTCACGAGTGTTTCCAGGATTGCTGTGGCTACTTGCCTACTCACAAACAGTATGGTTTCAATCAAGCCATCTGCTGTTTGTAATTACCTGCAAGCCTTCCCCGCCCTAGTTAATTGCAGGTTAACTCCCCATATAAGCAAGGACCTTTTCGCTTACTACTGGGGCCTAGACTCCGGTTTAGGCCTAAATGCACAGCTCCTGCAGGAAGCTCAGTGCAAATGCCACAGATGGGAGAAGAATGCAGATAAGGACTCCAGACGCTGTTGCAGAGAAACTCCCACGGATGCTTTCCTTTTGCTGTTTTGTAGCACGCAAGCTATCATCGGGACTGCTGTTGCTGGACCTTTTTCCTCCCACAAGCTTCAAGCAATGTTTGCTGTTTGAACTGTTTTTACTTCAGATGACTTTTAGCTGTGAAGTTTGTGCTGCCCCCCTTCTATTACCTCGATGATGTATCGATGCCGAAGCTGCTTATCTTCATGTTAGCTTTATTGTCTTGTGAACTGTTTCGGTATTGTGGAGAGGAATCTAGGGAGATAGCCTTGCTTCACATAACCAAGATAAGACTTTGTTTTTAATGTGCTTTCTTAAATACATAGTGCTTTTTAAATGTTTTAAAGTAAATTATATTTTTACACAAGACGCCTCTGTCAGATTTATTTCAGTCTCAGTGTGTTTGCTCATGAGCTGGTTCATGGTCTGGGGTACCCCTCAACCCCATTCCCTAACAGGATCTCTCAGGTCTGCTGACCCTTGAGGGGCCCACAGCCTGTTGGATGTGACATTCCACAATGAATGCACCAGAACTGAGAAACTTTGATCATTTCATGATGGCCCTTCATTGGCATTTCAAAGACCCCCTAGCTAACTGCAGAATGAGGGACCACATCAAAACTATGTATCAAGGCCACAGGGTGGTGGCAGAATACACTTTTCCTGGCCAAAGAGGTGGAAATCAACCAAGCATGCAATAAGTACTGTCCAGCCCAAACATGGAAGAAATTACTCCTAGAAAAGAAACAGTGAAGCCACACAACCTGTAGCCATGTTCCACTGTCTGCTTGAAGTGTGGCCAGGAGGGGCACCAAGCAGCAGAATGCAAAGCCAACTGCCCAAACAAAAAAACCCCATGAAGGAAGAAAAGTTGTTCTTTGGTCCAAAAAGGGGACCAAACAAGAAGACCCCTCCTGGTCCTACAGGAAAGGCCACCAAAGCACTGCAACAGGCCACGGAAATGGCACTGAAGGGAGTGGAGGTCATCAAGCTCATCCCATCACCAAAATGAGATGAGGGAACACTGACTCCACCAGCCAATGGCCATGGGCTAACTGAGCTGGTAAGTGGCCCAGTCACACCAGGGATGCTACCCATTGAGCTAAGCCTCCAAGCCTCCGGGCTAAAAGCCACCTTAAGGGCCCTGCTAGACTCAGGCTGTACCAGTTGCCTGGTTAACCCACCCCTGGTTGAGAAGTTGGGGTTCCACTTGAAACTCCTGAAAGTCCCTATTACATTTTTCCAGATAGATGAGGGCATCCCAGCGACGTTCGTCATCGAAGCCATAAAAATGTGAATGGGGGCTCACATAGAGACTTTAAGTTTCATAGTGGCCCCAGGGATGGAATGGCCCCTGGTGTTAGGGCTGCTGTGGCTAAAAAAGTGGAATCCTTATGTAAACTGGAGAAAGGGACTGCTAAAAAATCTGAATGAATTGCCCTCCCCGAGAGCAAGAGGTAATCCGGAAGGCTACATCTGCCCAGCTGAAATTGGGGCAGTAGCACAGAGGCAGGGAAAGGACCTCCCTGCTATCCCCAAAGAATATCGGGACTTAAGAGAGGTGTTCAGTAAAAAAGGGTTCAGATAACTTCCCCCTCACCAACTGATAGACTGTGCCATAGAGATCCTACTCGGGGATAAATTGCTTAAGCTGAAGCTGTATTCAATGACCCTAAGAAAGTTAGATGAACTGTGGGTGTTCATTGACAAAAATCTGGCCCGTGGGTTCATTCAACTGGCCCGACCATGGATAGCAGCCTCTGTTCTGTTTTGGGAAAACAAGGACAGGATGCTTTGTCTATATGTGGATTATATGGGGCTAAATGCTGTTTGGTTGGAAAATGTCTATCCTCTGTCCCTGATGAAGGACATGCTAGCCCATCTGGCCAAACACAAAATATTCACTAAGCTGAACCTGTGAGATGCCTACTATTGTGTGAGAATGAGGGAAGGGGATGAGGGGAAAACGGCATTAAACTGCCCTTTGGAATGCTTTAGAATCCTCCCTTTTGGCCTCCGGGTTGCCCCAGCAGTGTTCATGCAGTTGATAAATGAGGTCTTACATGAGCACCTGTATTTATTTATTTATTTATTTATTTATTTATTTATTTATTTATTTATTATATTTCTACACCTCCTTTCTCCTGTAGGACTCAAGGCAGTGTACAGTCAAGAAAAATATAGACACACAAACATCATAAAATTGCTAATTAAAATTATTATTATAACATAGTTCGGCCCAATTAAATAGAACCTAAAATTAGATAACATTTTAAAAACATTCACATGTTCATATGTTTAGCCCCGCTTGTTGGAACATCAGGGTTTTGAGGGCACGGCGGAAAGCACGGAGATCAAGGATATTTCGTATCTCAGGGGGCAGTTCATTCCAAAGGGTTGGAGCCCTCACAGAGAAGGCCCTCCCCCTGGGAGTCGCCAGTCGGCATAATTTGACTGACGGTACCCTGAATAGTCCCTCCCTGTGAGAACGAACTGGTCGGTGGGAGGCTATTGGTGGCAAAAGTCGGTCTCGTAGGTACCCAGGTCCTAAGCCATGGAGCGCTTTAAAGGTGATAACTAACACCTTGAATCGTACCCGGAAGACCACTGGGAGCCAGTGCAGCTCGCGTAGGAGAGCTGTTACATGGGCGCAACGAGCTGCGCCCATAATCACCCACGCGGCTACATTCTGGACCAGTTGGAGCCTCGGGTGCTTTTCAAGGGGAGCCCCATGTAGAGAGCATTACAGTAGTCCATATGGGAGGTGACTAGGGCATGAGTGACTGTGCACAAGGCGTCCCGATTCAGAAAGGGACGCAACTGGCGGATCAGGCGAACCAGATAAAAGGCACCTCTGGCCACGGCCGTCAAATGATCTTCTAAAGATAGCCGTGAATCCAGGAGGACACCCAAGTTGCGGGCCCTCTCTGTGGGGAGCAAGATCTCATCCCCAATTGTCAGTGATGGTACCAGCTGACTATACCGGGACGCCGGAAGCCACAGCCCTCGGTCTTGGAGGGGTTGAGTCTGAGCTTGTTTCTCCCCATCCAGATCCGCATGGCCTCCAGGCAACGGGACATCACAGCAAGGGCATCATTGGGGTGGTCTGGGGTGGAGATGTATAGCTGTGTGTCATCAGCATACTGATGAACACCCACCCCGAAACCATGGATGATCTCGCCTAGCGGTTTTACATAAATGTTGAACAGAAGGGGTGAGAGGACTGACCCTTGCGGCACCCCACAAATAAGGTGCCTTGAGGTCGACCTCTGTCTCCCTGCCAACACAAACTGCGAATGGTCAGAGAGGAAGAAGGAGAACCACCGAAGCATGGTGCCCCCTATTCCTAACCCCTCCAGCCAGTGCAGTAAGATACCATGGTTCATGGTATCAAAAGCCGCTGAGAGATCTATTAGGACCAGGATAGAGGAACAACCTCTGTCCCGAGCCCTCCAGAGATCATCCACCAACGCGACCAATGCCGTTTCCATGCTGTATCGTGACCTGAAGCCCGACTGGAACAGATCCAGATAGACAATTTCATCCAGGTATCGGGGTAGTTGTCGCGCCACCACACTCTCAACAACCTTTGCAACAAAGCGAAGATTGGAGACTGGACGATAATTTGATAATATAGCCGGGTCCAGGAAAGGCTTCTTGAGGAGGGGCTTCACAACCGCCTCTTTCAAGGCAGCGGGAAAGACACCCTCACTCAGAGAAGCATTTATAATCCCCTGGAGCCAGCCTCGTGTAACCTCCCGGGAGGCCAGTACCAACCAGGAGGGACACGGGTCCAATAAACATGTGGCAGTGTTAAGCTTGCCCAGAATCCTGTCCACGTCCTCAGGAGCCACAGAGTCCAACTCTTCCCAGATAACGCTCTCAAGACCTACCCCCGTCTCCTCCCCTGGATCTACCCAATCGGAGTCCAGGCCTTCCTGAATCTGAGCGACTTTATCATGCAGGAATTGTACAAAATCCTCAGCTCGACCTTGTAAGGGATCTTCCCATACCCCCACCTGAAGTAGGGAGTGGGTCACCCTAAACAGCGTGGCTGGGCGGTTCTCTGCAGATGCAATAAGAGCAGAGAAATAGCTAGACTTCGCCGCTCTTATCACCACTAGGTAGGTCTTAATATAAGATCTCACCTGTTTCGGTCAGATTCAGATCGGCTTGTCCTCCAATCGCTCTCCAGGCGTCTTTTCTGACGTTTCATCTCTCTCAGCTCCTCGGAAAACCAAGGAGCTAGACGAGATCGGCATCGGGTCAGAGGCTGCAAAGGCATGACGCGGTCCAAGCCCCCAGTAGCCGCCCTGTCCCAGGCGACCACCAGGTCCTCAGTCAAGTCGTGAGCCAGAGTCTCAGGAAATGGCCCAAGCTCCATCAGGAACCTTTCGGGGTCCATCAGGCGCCTGGGACGGAACCATTTGGTTGGTTCCATCTCCCTGCGGTGGGTGGAAGTGACTTGAAAGTCCATGTGAAGGAGAGAATGATCAGACCATGACAAGGACTTGATAAAGGGATACTGGTGTATTTGAATGATATTTTAATTGGTACTTGGTACTGACCAGGGACTTAGCTCAAGTCACCACCCCCAAATTAATGGGGACGTGTGAATGTGTGAACTCAGTATTGGAACAGTATCTTAGATGTTATATCAATTATCAGCAGGATAACTGGACTGATTTGTTGTCTTTTGCTGAAGTAGTGTATAATCATTCTCTTCACAGTAGCATAGGTTTAGTCCTTTTAGAGTGGCTACAGGACAAGACTTTAATCCAAAACTTGAACTACCCCTTAATGATCTGCTGATATCATTGCTGAAAGAGTGAGTCACCCAACTGCGAAATACATGGCCAGTGGTAAGCATAGAATGACCCTTCAATATTTAGTGGCCTGGAAAGATTTCTCAGCTGCTCAGAATGAATGGGTTGACCATTGTCATGTTATAGCTCTAAACTTTTAAAATGCTTCCATAATCAATATCCTGATGAATCCAAATGACATTTCTCCTGTTTTATGTTTCTTCTCTCCCTGTTTGTTTTGTTTTTCTTCCCCAGACTAACGTCGCTGTTCAAGGGGGCAACATGTCAGGTCCACATCATGTCCTGCCATTCTGTTGGAAGGGGGAGGAGAGAACAGCTTTTTGGCATTTTTTCACATGCTTTTGCTTCATGGGCTTTTTCAGATTTTTCCTGACTTTACTGCAACCACACTCTCTCAGTAAAAGTTCTTTTGATTCAACTGAATGGAGTCAAGAATCTTATTTTTCTGAGGGACCAGCTGGGGCAGGTCCTTACATCAAGTTCTTCCCAAGAATGTAATGAAATGTATCAGTTAATATGCAGATCCAAGTAGTGTGGCCTTTTGCAATTGACAAATGGAAATTTTGTCAATGCACAAATATTTCATTTCATGAAGCGCTGCATTTTAGCTGAAAGAGAAATGTATTTTCTTTTAAATTGTAACTTATATAACATGATTTTTACAATTGTGCAGATATCTATGTTACTGTAATGGTAGATAACCCCACTTAAAAATATTTACAGAAAAGTAGCAAGTTACAAGAATACTTCGGATATTTTCTGAAGGTGAAGCCATTATCTTTAGTATGGAAAAGAACATAAACTGGAAAAGCTTGCTTTAATACATGTTATACTAGTGTGTAAATTCTATACATGATTTGAAATTAGTGACATGACTTTTGTGAAGAATAGAATAGAATAGAATAGAATAGAATAGAATAGAATAGAATAGAATAGAATAGAATAGAATAGAATAGAATAGAATAGAATAGAATTCTTTAATGGCCAAGAGTTTGGACTCACAAGGAATTTGTCTTTGGTGCATATGCTCTCAGTGTACATAAAAAGACAAGAATCAAGTCAAGAATCACAAGGCACAACACCCAGTGATAGTCATACGGTACAATAAGGAATCAAATCATACTAGGAAACAATATCAATATAAATTGCAAGGATACAAGCAACAAAGTTACAGTTATGCAGTCACAAGTGGGAGGAGATGGGTGACGGGAACGATGAGAAGACTAATAGCAATAGTAATGCAGCCTAATCTGAATAGTTTGACAGTGTTGAGGGAATTTTTTGTTTAGCAGAGTTCAGGAAAAAACTGTTCTTGTATCTAGTTGTCTTGGTATGAAGTGCTCTATAGCGTCATTTTGAGGGTAGGAGTTGAAACAATTTATGTCCAGGATGCGACGGGTCTGTAAATATTTTCACAGCCCTCTTTTTGACTCGTGCAGTATACAGGTCCTCAATGGAAGGCAGGTTGGCAGTAATTGTTTTTTCTGCAGTTCTAATTATCCTCTGAAGTCTGTGTCTGTCTTGTTGGGTTGCAGAACCAAACCAGACAGTTATAGTGTCAGCTCCGGCATGCTGGCTGGCCCGGAGCTGCCATTCGGAGGGGAGGCAGTCACCACTCTCCCTGCCCATCATGAAATGTTCTGGATGACTGCCCAGGAAGGATCCTCCTGTAAAGGCTGACGGGCAGTAAAGGCTGACTGACAGCGAAGGAAGAGGACCAGTCCTCCTTAAAAAGTTACTAGCAGCAGGGGAGGAAGAAAGGAAAAGCTGGACTTAAGGCAGATGCTGGTGTCTTCCCCTGCTCATTTCAGGGTCATGTGGGAGGGAGCTACACGCGTGAGTGGGTGGGTGGGTGGTGCTTATAGTTTATTTCTTTTTTTTAAATAAACTTTATTAAAGATAAAAAAGATAAAATGTCATATCGAGTATATACAAAATACAAAATACATTTATATTAATCCACATACCATTACTTACTCACAACTAAAGATGAAAAAAATAAACAAAACAAAATGAGTAAAAGAAAAGAAAAAAAATGTAGAAAGTGACTTGTCACTTTATCACATATCTTACTGAGGGTGCGTATTTATTGATATTATTGTCTTTCAGAATTTTACATTTACTCTCTTTTTTTTGGGTTATCCAATTGTATCATCTATTCCATACCGTGTAATATTTTGAGTCTGCCTTGTCTTTTAACTCAAATGTTAATTTGTCCATCTCCGCACAATTGTAAATTTTTTGGATTATTAGTTGATCCATTGGTAATTGATCCATTTTCCAATATTGCGCTAATGCCAATCTGGCTGCCGTAATTATATGTAATATTAAATATTTTGTTTCTTTCCTATGGTTTTCTTTGATCATGCCTAATAGAAAAATTTCTGGTTTCAACTCTATTTCCTCTGCTGTTATTTCTGTTAGTTTTTAATTTGTTGTTAGTTTAATTCTGTTATTTTTAATTTCTCGCCATGTACAGATTAATGAGTGTCCTAATATATGGTTACTGAAATATTTTTATGTTTTGTTCCCAGTGTTCCATAATAAGGCCTGCCACCCCATCAACAAATCATGTCCTTCTAATTTTAATAGTCTTTCATTTTCCAAATTCACCCATTCTCTAATCCATGTTAGACTTATTGCTTTATAGTATGTTTCCCATGCTGGCAATCCAAATCCACCTCTAGTTTTATCGTCCTGCAAAATACTTAATTTGATACTTGGTTTTTTCCCTTCCCAGACCAATTTTGTAGTTATTCTATTCAAATTGTTAAAAAAAAAATTATCCAATTTTACCGGGATTGTTTGAAATAAATAAAGGAGTCTTGGCAGTATGTTCATTTTTATCGCTGCAATCCTCCCTAATAGCGATAATTTCAATTTCCCCCATTTTTCTAAATCTTCATTTATTTTTTGAACTAAAATTCCATAATTGTTCTCCTTTATGGTTGCACATCTGGCTGTCAAATGTATACCTAAATATTTCACCTTTTTTACCACCTGTAATCCTAATTGATTAACTAATTCTTCTATTTGTTTTGCTGATATATTTTTCGTTAACATTTTAGACTTATCTTTCTTAATTTTTAAACCCGCTACTATTCCAAATTCCTCTATCTCGTTTATTAAAATTGGTCCTGTTTTTAATGGTTCCTCTATGAAGAATACAAGGTCGTCCGCAAATGCTTGGACCTTGTATTCTTCTCGTTTTACATTTCGTCCTTTTATTCTTTTATTTGACCTAATTCTTATAAGTAGATTTTCCAATGTTAAAATGAAAAGTAAAGGTGAAAGTGGACATTCCTGCCGTACTCCCTTATTTATTTCAAAGAATTTAGTAGAGTCTCCATTTACTAATATACTTGCTTTTTGTTTTGTATATATAGAGGCTATCATTTTTTCAAATCTCTCCCCGAATTTCATGTTTTTTATTTGCTGAATCATAAATTGCCAATTAACCTGATCGAAAGCTTTTTGTGCACCCAGAAACACCAGTGCTACCTCCCTCTCTGAATGCACCTCATAGTATTCTAATTATTGTTCTTATATTGGTTTTTATTTGCCTCATTGGTAAAAAGCCGTTTTGATCTGGATGTATTCTATAATTCAATAATTTTTTCATCCTGTTTGCCATTATATTCATGAAGATTTTGTAATCAGTGTTTAATAGAGAGATCAGTCTATAATTTTTTATTTGTGTTATATCTGCTCTTCCTTCAGTATCAGCGAAATGTATGCCTCCCTCCATGAGTCTGGTAGCTTTGTCTCTGTCAATGCCTCATTACACGTTTCTAGTAGAATCATATTCAATATTTCTCCTAATCCTTTATAAAATTCAATTGGTAAACCATCTGTCCCTGGGGTTTTATTATTTTTTTGCTTCTTAATTGCTTCCTTTAGCTCTTCTATGGTAATATCCCTATTTAATCTCTTTTTCTTCCTCTGTTAATGCTGGCATTCCCTCCTCACTCAAATATTGATTTATTTCTTCGGCTGTCACATTATCTTGCTTGTAAAGTTTTTGAAAAAATTGAGTTACTATCTCTTTTTTCTTTTCTATACTCTGTTGCATTTTACCCTTTTTGTCCTGTAATTGTTGGATTATTCTTTTCTCCCTTTCTTTTCTCAATCGATAAGCCAACCACCTCCCTCGCGTGCTCAAAATGGTTCTGTTTTATATATTTCAATGCCATTACATATTTTTCCTGTTCTAATATATTCAATTTATGTTTAGCTGCTATCCATTTACCTCTAATTTGCTCGTCCCCTGGGTTATCTTTTAATTTTCCTTCCCAATTTTTAATCTCTTCTTGTAGATTTTTCCCTCTCCTTTTTTCGTTTTACATTATAAGCTACTGTTAATCCTCTCACGTAAGCTTTCATTGTGTCCCATAAATTCTGCAGGGAGGTGTGTTGTTTTGTGTTATCTTTAAAAAACCACTTTAATTCCTTTTCCATTTTTTCCTTCAATATCTGTGTGTTCATCATCCATCTACTCTTTTTCCTATGTTGTCCTTTCCATATCAACATTACTGGATTATGGTTAGCCCAATTGTTTGACATTATTTCTACTGTTTCTACCTCTTGTATAAGAATTTTAGTTATCCATGCCATGTCTATTCTAGACCAGGACATATGAGGATTAGAATAATATGTAAAATTCTTTACCTTAGGGTTATAAAATCTCCAACTATCTACCAAATTTAGTTCTTCTACTAAATCCATAAAACTTCTAAGCAGCACATTTTTCTTTTTTTTATTACTCTGATCACTTCTATAATTCTTTTTTGCATCTACAATTGCGTTGAAATCGCCAATCAAACATACAGTACATACTCCATTTTCTGTTCTATTATTTTTTCATGTACTTTTCTATAAAATTCTGTTTGTCCACTATTCGGCGCATATATGATCACCAATAGAATATTTTTATATTTAAATTTTACCTCTATCATCAATATTCTTCCTACTGAATCTGCATAATTCAAATTACTCTCTATTCCTTCCTTGATATACACCACTATTCCTCTTTTCTTTTCTTCTGCTAGTGTTACAAATGCTTTACCTAATTTTTTGTATTGTAAGTATTTTTCATCCTGTTTTCTTATGTGTACCTCTTGGAGGCACACAATATCCATTTTTTGTTTTACTACTTTTCTAAAAAATTGATGTCATTTGGCTGGAGAATTAAGACCATTTACATTTAATGATAAATTTTTAAAATTTTGTTCCATTCGTTAGTGACTGTCCTATACGTTTTTTCTTACTTCCTGTCTTTTCTCTTAGCTCTTGTTCTCACTCCTTCTTCCTCTTGGATTTCTCCTTCTTCCTCTTTGTCTCCCTTCTCTAATACTTTTTCTTGTTCTTCTTGTCTCTGTTTCTCTTTAATTCTCCGTTCCAACTCCTCCCTGTTGCTGT